GGAAACGCGGTGGCACTGCTCTTTAACCTTGACTTGCTCTTTGACGAAGCGGGAGCGGAATCCCTTCTCAACTAGGGAGGCTGTAGATGGCTGTTCGGATGATGGTTTGTCTTCTATGACTACAGGCGAGTTTGCAAGGTATTCTTCCAGCATCATTTTATCTCCGGCCGTAATAGTTGAGGACATCCTTATGTTGGCAGTCAAATTGCCTTCCTGGGCAGTGTATGAACCCTTCTGTTGGGGCTGCGAGGATTGTGTTGTAAACGGAGACCTAAACTGGGGTTTTCTAGATAGACTGGAAGGCGCAGGGTTATTTGGCCGCGAAGTGGGGGCTGAAGAATGGAGCTCATATCAATATTACATCCCTTTCCAGTGACAGTCGGGGTAGGGTTCTTACATTGAGCAGGACTGTCGTCGAACGGACCCCTAAACTTGGATGGAGGTGACTGCGGCCGAAGCTCGGCAGGACTGTCGAGAGTCCTCGTGGGGAAAGGCCGGTTGATCCTTCGAGGGAGAGAACCTGGCTCCATCTCCTGTGAGCATGTGAGATTACTGGCAAATGTGGTCTTCTTTCTCCTGATTGAGCCGGAGCGTGACCTGTCAGACTGCTGGTACAGACTGTCTCCCGAATAGGACGCGGTAACGTCTTTCCTGGAAGGCGAGTCAGGCAGCTGTTCGTCCGACGGCGGCCGCGGCTTCTTTAGGATGGACGGTGGAAGGGTTGTTTTTATACTGCTGCCGGATGGAGTGAGCCTGGAGCTGTTACTCCTGCTTGGGCCCTGAAAGGATGGTGACTTAGGCAGTGAGTTGTCAACGTAAAACCCGTGAGGAATGGCCCTTGGCTTAAGGCCAGCAAGCTAGATTCGGTAAGTTAGTCTCTGCTTGTTTCCTCTGAGAATTGATTGGAAAATCGTTGTTCTCAGTGGTTTACCTCTCTTTCCTTCCTGAGCCACTCTTCGGTGGTGTACTCCCCTTCCGAGATCTGGATAAAGAGAAAGGCCAGGGTGTAGCCACGGATGGTGCAGCTTATCCGTCCGTTACTCCATATCCTCCAAAAGAGGTTCTCCAGCCGTCGGCCTGCATCTTTCTCCAGGGTGGTCTTATTCGTCGTATAGACTAAAGACCGGGGTCAACAGTGACAAAAATCAAAAGGCGAGAAGCTGGTCGCTCAGATGAACAAAGAACAAAGGAACAAAGGAAGAGCCTCACCTCTCCACAGCCTGGCCACATCCTCAACCTCGACATGCGAGTCATGGTTAAGCTCCGAGCGGATGCTGTGGGTGTTGAAGACGATGCCGTGGGGAAGAGCTTCCGTCATGGTCCAGCTGCCCACGAGACACCGTAGATTTGCGAGGTACGGCCCGACAACACCACCAGCATAAGGATATCACTGGCTACGGTCAAGCAAGGTACAGCCAAGAGCAGGAAGAAAAACAGGACGGCCACCGGTGGTATATATGTCAATATCTTGGCCCTCACTTGTCCTTCCTCTGTACTTTAAGAGCTGGCTGCCTGGTATAGTATGCGGTGTGCAGGGTTAAGCTCAACGGGCGCGCATGATCAACATGGCGCGGGTTGACGGCAGCCAACGGAGCGCGAAGGGGTATTTAGCCTCTCGGTTCGCTGTTCCTGGGGATGGAGGATGGGCTAATGCAAGGAAGCTGGCGTATGAGCAGAGGAAAAGAAGCTGAGGTGAGGCGGGCGGGAGGTTGCGAGAGGGAAGACGTGGAGGACGTGGAGGAGAGCGGGCGATAAGTTATAGAAAAGAGGCGCGGATGGGGCAGGTCGGCTGCTGCAGCACGTGAAGTGTCCGGATGACCTGCGGGTCCGCGATAAGTCAAGTTGGAGAAATATGAAGCTGGAGGTGGTGGTTTGTATGGTGGCGCTGGCGGTGCTTCGTGCTTCGTGCCTCGTGCTGGTGATGGCGATGCTGGAGATATTGAAGGCAGAGGAGAGGATCCAAGGTGTAGTTGAAGAGGTGACGTTGGAATGTCCCGATTGGGATGGGCTCGACAGCTTCTTTTGACGACTCGACGTCAAAGTTAACTAACTAGTTATCTCAACCTCGCAACCTCACAGCAACAACGACGACGACGACAGCGACGTTGACAACCACGACGAAGAAGAAGCTCTACACAGCTACAGGAGGACACAGACAAGATGTTTCATTAAGATGAAGCAGAACTAGAAGACGGGTCGACTGGAAAAACGGCCACGGTCATGTGCCGTGCAGAAAACGCTGGGCCTCTACTTTGACGAGCTAGCTGGAGTCTCGATATCCAGCGGTGATGTGACGGGAGAATCCATGCAGCCAATGCAGGACGAGGTCAGGAAGGCCGAGCAGATCCAGGATAAGCCTGGGCAGACAGCTGCACGACGAGAGAGACGCAGACAGGGGCAGACAGCCGAAGAGAGACTCTCCAGCCTCCGGGTTTCAGCCTGAAGCGAGTTGGTGATCGAGACTCTGCTTCCGAGTCGTCCATCAGCTGCAGATGTTTTCTTTTTTGCCTCCCCTCTTCCAGCAATAGCTGGACTGGACACCATCTCGAAGACTTGCAACCGTGGTATCTCGCCTGTTCAATGCATGTACGATGTACAGCGGACTGCAGATTCGCTCCTCGTATCAGCGGCTTTATCTCCATTATGATTCTAGTGTCTGCTTGACGAGGCTGGAATCCCATATACGGGATGCATACAGACATGGTACAGTACGTCTCTATGCATATACAAAATATTGAGCGAGCAGGGGTATCGGCTAATGGCCTACGGTGGCATTGTTGACTCATTTATTATTAAAAAAGTAAGCAAAGCAGATCTAACTAACGGAAAACTACCAGCCAACCGGGGAATAGGGAATAGAGCGGAGGAAGCAAGGCGCTCCTTCACCTTTTTTTAGGTGACGGTGTATCCGCCGTCAACACGCAGGTCCGCGCCGGTGACATACTTGCTAGCGTCACTCGTAAGGAAGACGACGGCACCCATAAGATCCTCCGGCACACCCATCTTGCCCTGGGGAATCAGCGAGGTCCATTTCTGGTTCAGGTCTGGGTTGTCATCGAGGATTTTTTGTGTCCTAACCACAACGGACCCCCTTGTTAGTACCATAGATAAGGATGCAATATATAACTCTCGACAAGAGTAGACTTACAATGCAGTCAGCATGTATCCCGGGCTGATACAGTTAACCCTGATGCCGGCTCCAGCCCATTCGACAGCCAGCGAAGCCGCCAGGTGCCGGATCGCCGCCTTTGCGGCGTTATATGGTGCCTGAGGCTGTGGAACATTAACAATCGAGCCGGACATGCTTCCTATCAGCACCATACTACCGGGAGCCTTGCGTTCCATCAGATGCTTGGCTACCTCGACGGCAAACAAGTAGGAGCCGTCAACATTGACTTTCCACAGTTTCTGGATGCGATCGTAAGGGTAGCTGATGGCATCGAAGTTCTCGGTAAAGCCAGCCGAAGTGACCAGGTGGTCTATCTTGGTGTGTTTCGAGATAATCTCGGCAATACTGGCATTGACAGACTCGGGATCGCCCACGTCCGCATAGTGAGCTGTGATTTTTGGCAGGCTGTTGTTATGCCGTCAGCTTCGTCATATAGGCTGGGTATCTAAAGCAATGATTCTACTGACCGGTCAAGGCCCGGGTTTTCCTTTTCAAACTGCTCCAGCAGCTTCTTTGCCTGAAGCTCTGCTTCCTGTTCTATACAGCTGTTAGCTAAAACCACACATCAATTGTTTTTTCGTTGTTTGTTGATTGTTGCAACGTACTGTTCAAGTCCACAATGGCAAGATCAGAGCCAGATGCGACCAATGCTTGGCCCATCACCAGTCCCAGTCCACGCGCACCCCCTGTGATGACGGATACTCGGCCCTCGAGCGAGAATGAGGCCAGCGTCCGCTTGAAATGTCGACCTCCCCGGCCCTGCACGATAGGGGTCTGTGGCATCTCATCGTCCGGAGGGTACTCAACTCTCACGCTATCATCTGTTCGAGCCAAACCGCCCTCTGCATCGATAGCTGCCGCCGGAACCTTCTCGTTATCCTTGTACAAAGCGGTTGAAGAGGATATGTTTCTTCTGTAAGCCGCTTGCTGCACTCCGAATCGTCCTGCAGTAGCGGCAGCCGAAGGTCCTCTGATGATTGATGACGGACCGCAGGCGGCCCGAAGCAAGCTGCTCCTCGCAGATAGTCTGAACATGGTGTCTATCTCTCTCTCTGTGTGTGTTTGTGTGCCTTTCTGCTATCTCTTTCTATGGCAGATGTAGTCGATGACTGAATCACCTCTGCTGGGATCGAGATTTATGGCCTGCTTGCAGACGTCATGCAAATTAGTAACTCAGCGGAGCTGCGCAGCTTGCATCGAGCCAAAACCGGTCGCTTACCTTGTTCTGTAACAGTTCACCACCCAGGTGGCCAATGGACAGTCAACTTCAAACAACGACCTTGGTTTTGTTCACCAAGACGGCCGCAGCAGCAAGTTGGACTGGGAAGAAGAGATAGTAGGGGTAGTAGGAGTATGTGCAGGAGGAAAAAGAGGACGCAGATGATCAGGGAATAAAATCTCTTCCCAGGCGAGCCCGAGGAGGACAAGAAATATGGGACCTCTCTTCCATCGCTGATCCACCGAAAGGTCACTTGAGCACCTGTTACTAGCCAAAGAAGCCGCAGGATGGCAGCGGGCGGAAAGGGGTGATAAGCGATGAAAGGGAGGCAGAGCTTCGGGCGCGCCTTTTTTTAGCTGGCACCTTACGCAAGGCTTTAACTGGAGCTTTAACTGGCCTTAACTGGCTTTAACTAGCTTTTTAACTGGCTTTAGCTGGGGTTTAACTGGAGCTCGGCCAGGGGTTTCCCTTGGTAGGTGGAGTCGCTGGCGGTGGCGGTCGGGCTTCCAGAAGGGCGAGACTCGCTCTCTTTGCTTATTCTCTTACTTTCTGGCCAGGGTTTTTTTTTTATTTATCTTTTTTATTTTATTTTGATTGCTGATTTCTATCGGTCTAGATCTGATGGTTGGTGATGGTATTTTGAGGTTTATATATACAGTTAAGGAGAAAGCTCTTCTCTCCTCGAATCGCCGCCAAAAAGAAGAGAGAAACAGCTCGGAAGATGTGTAAACAAACGAATAAAAAAGGACTCGTCATCGTATCATCCATCATGTATAACCCCTTGAAAACAAGAATGCCGCGACGTGAAAATATATTGAATACTTGGATGGGAGGGATATCGGCCTTGTCCAGGGACCGATGAGCTGCGAAGAAAAGCCATCGTGGCCTGAAGGAGTCGTTGGTTTGCTATGTTTCTGTTGTCCTTGGACGATCAATAAGAAGGGGGAGGTGGAGATGCTTTTTTTTCGTTTCTTCTTTACATACTCCGTACGGGCGAGAAGATACCGGCCCAAAAGAAAAAAGGATGATCGGAGCCCATGGTGGGTAACTTCGTTGCGATATTTGATAATTCCAACACTAAGACGAGAGACCAGACATTGGATTTGTCTACTCTTTCTTTCTTTTCTTCTCAATTCATCAGCAAAGATGTCAATCGATCGTTTGACCGTCTTTGATAGCCCTGGCCAAAGGCCGAAAATCGGCCCCCCCCTTACGACTCAGGGGCTTCCGGTTCGGCAGCAAACTCGACCAGCGCTGTGCCAGCTTTGCAGATATCCTAAAAAAAAAATAACATTTTTTGTCAGCCATCGCCTTCTAGACTCTTGCTTTTGATCGTTGTAAGGCTTACCCCCTGTTTATGCACAATCTTCTCCACCACACCCTTGATGGGACTCCTGATAACAGTTTCCATCTTCATACTCTCGATCACAACAAGAGGCTGGTCTTTCTCCACTACTGCACCTTCAGCTACTTCCACGCGCAGAATCTTGCATGGCATGGGAGCTAGGACGCTGTTGGTCAACTCTTTAATACCAAGCGCCTTCTCCATCCACTTGGCTCGGGGAACCTTGAGTCTGTACTGTCGTCCGTGCTGGAAGGCAGTGATAGTATCCTCGTCACGAATTACGGTGGTATCAAGACGAGTATGGGGGAAGAAAGAGGTAAGTGACTTGCCGTCGGCCGAGAGCGTGGCAGTAACGTTACTGAAAGTCTTTTCATTGTTGATGGTCACATCATAGCTCGATGGGCCAGTCTGATAGATCTGAACTGTAGCCGGTGTGGCCTCGGGGGTATTTGGGGCCGTAGCCTCGACAAAGGTGAACTGACGCTGCTGGTAGCCCGGGCTAAAGCCAATGCCTGCGCCAGTGTTTCCAATTGGGTTGCTGGAGCTAGTTCCCGAGATGAAAGTTGAGAGGGCTACCTGCGCCCAGAGCTCCGGTTCGACTGGTTCCTTAGCGAACAGCTCCTCGCGGTGCTTCTCGATATAGCCGGTCTCCACTTCGCCGGCAATAAAGTCGGGGCTCTTGCACACACGCTTGAGGAACTCGATGTTGGTGATTGGGCCAGCGACTTCGTACTGTTCAAGGGCCATGGAGAGGTTGCGCAGGGCTTCGGTGCGGTCTGCGCCCCGAACGATGAGTTTTGAGATCATTGGGTCGTAGTGTGAAGAAACTTCATCACCGGCAACGAAGCCGGCATCGATACGAACGTCCTCAGTAGGCTGTGGAGTGCGGACGTGGATCAGCTTACCGGAGTCCGGCACGAAGTTCTGTTCGGGGTTTTCAGCGTAGATTCGGGCTTCGATGGCATGACCCATGGTAGCCATTTTGGCCTCGACCTCTTCCTGGGTGAGAGGGAGAGGCTTTCCCTCAGCTACAAGTAGCTGCCAGTGAACAAGATCCTGACCAGTAACCATTTCCGTGACTGGGTGCTCGACCTGTAATCGAGTGTTCATTTCCATGAAGAAGAACTCGCCAGTGTCGTTGTCGAAAATGAACTCGACAGTGCCGGCGCCTTCATAACCGACAGCCAAAGCGGCATCTCTCGCCTTGGCCCAGAGATCCTTTCTTGTGGCCTCTGGCAGATGTGGTGCCGGCGACTCCTCGAGGACCTTCTGGTGACGACGCTGGACACTGCAGTCTCTCTCTCCCAGGGCAACGGAGTTTCCATGCTGGTCCGCGAACACCTGGACTTCTATATGGCGTGGAGTGGTAATGTACTTTTCAATAAGCATGGTATCATCACCAAAGGAGCTCTTTGCCTCGGATTTGGCGGATCTTAGCTGGTCTTGGAACTCGGCAGCACTGCGGGCGATACGCATACCCTTTCCACCACCGCCCTTGACGGCCTTGATGAGGACGGGATATTTGATTTTCTCAGCCTCAGCGGCGAGGAAGTTGACGTCTTGGTTTGTGCCATGATATCCGGGGACGCAGGGAACGCCAGCAGCAGTCATGATCTCTTTAGAACGACTATAGTGGTGTTAGCATAAACTGCAGATTGCTGTTAAAACTGCTGTGAAAGCTCACCTCTTGTCTCCCATAGCGTCAATGGCTGAAGGTGGTGGCCCAATGAAGATAAGTCCGGCATCTGTACACTTCTTTGCGAAGCCAGCATTTTCACTCAACTGTGTCTTGTTAGCATCTATCGTCGCGCTGGTGTTCAACCAAGGTCTAGTAACGTACAAATCCGTAGCCAGGGTGTATTCCCTTGCATCCCTCGCGTTTGGCAATCTCAATTATTCGGTCTCCGTCCAGGTAGGCAGAGGTTTCACCTAGGTTATAGGCAAAAGGAGAGCTCAAGGCATGCTGAGCATGGGCGTCAGGGTCGGTGTACAGGGTTGTTACGCGGATGCCATGCTGTCCAGCTGTTCTTCCCACTCGTCTGCAGCGATAAACAGTAATTAGCAAACAAACAGCTCGACAACAGCTGTAATTGGCACCGAGGAAGCATCTCTTACAGAGCAATCTCTCCTCTGTTGGCAATAAGGATCGAATTGAGCGAGGTCGTACCCTTGCCGGTAGCTGTCGAGGAGCTATGGCGGAGGGACGAGGCAGCAAAGAGGGCGCGCTGGGGGATGCGCGAGGCAGAGGCGCGCAGGAGAAACGACATGATGGACGACGTTGAAGCTGGTCGACTAGAAGCCCAACACCATGTCCAGTTCAATTCGATGCAGAGAAGAAGATTTCTGTCTTTCTCTCGATAATCAACACACTGGAAGAAAAATGAAGCCGCGCGAGTTGCCTAGTTCGGCAATTCTGGGTGGGCGCCGATGGCAAGCGGGCGGTCGGCGCGCTGTTCCGGTAATTACGTTGTATTTACATATCGGACGCGGATACCGAAGTCACGGGATGCTCGGCTTACCTTCCATTTTGTCATTCACGTGACTTGTTGCCTATTACGTCATACAACAGAAAAAAGCTTGGAACTTTTTTTTTCTTTGCTTTTTTGATTTCTTTATAGATTTTCAGGCTGAAGAATATCAATGAACCGGCAGGAAGATACGCGCGCGTTAACAGAGAGAAAAGGAGAGTCAATGGGCTGCAGATAGCTGGATTGTTATTGTTTGCTGGAGAAGGAGTGCGTTTGGTTTGTCTGGGCAATCTGACGCTCTTTCCGCACCTGTCTGGTGTCTGGTTGCCAAATAACCATCTAAGCAGCTGCGAGTGTAGCTGTCAACCTCAATTGACTGTCGCCGTTTGATACCTGGGATTTGAAGTCGGATGATATACGTATCTTAGACAACAGCCTTGCCATTTGAGTGTTGAAGCAGGCTGTTTATGCTGCATAACGGGACTACTGCCTACCTGCCCACCGCACCCCAAGCCGATAAACCACAATGGCTGAAATTGACGAATACGATGAGTTCGAGGAATATCTCTGGATAGACTACGGAGAACCACATTTCACTGTAAGAATATGACCATTTCCCGGGGAACTCAAAAGTTGAATGCTAAACAATTGGGTGGTAGGATGACATGGCCATGTTGGTAAATCCGGACCCTGTCTTCATAGACGACAGTTCGCTCGAGGATGCGTTAGACAGTGATACGGACTGGGAGGAATATCTTTCGGATGAGTACTATGACCAGGACAAGCCAGACAAGGTCCACCGTCAGAAGAAGAAAATTGAGAGCAAGAAACCAGCTCAGTTTGACTCGGCTACGTTCTACGGCGTGTCATGGTCTGCTGGCTCACCATTGAATAATGATGGGCCCCTGTATCAACCTGGAGAGGGAGAGAAGGTGTCTCTCCTCAAGAATTGGCGTGAAGTCTTCCAAGAGTCAAAACCAAAGACGAAGACAAGTGAAAAGCTGAAGCAAGATGGAAGTATCAGAGCAACATTCCACGACCATTTATCGACACGATTCCGTCGTAATAGTGAACAGGGGGCATTAGTCAACGATAATCTCAACCTCGGCAACAACATGGAGACCGATGGACTGTCTCGTCCAGTCTCCGGCCTCAAGACTTTTTTACTTGGTTCAAGCATGTGGGCTGAGAAGAAAGGCCGTGACCATCTTTTCATGAATAATAATGGACCACAGCTCAAAAAGGGCTCCTCGGCGCGTGCAGAGGCGAAACCTAACAATAATCTCGATATAATACTGCCCCCTGCGCCAAAGAATATCGAAGAGTACAAAGAGATCATTACTACCGCGCCTCCGGTTACACAGAAGCGAGGACGGAAGAGAAAAGCAGATGTGACTGTTGAGCAGACCACCCCTGACTTAGACTCTAACTCAGCCTCTGGTCTTACCAGGAGCTCGAAGCGTAAGAAGGCCGGCCATACAAACGGCATAAAAACCGCAACATCTTCTCGGCCCATACGATCTTCAACAAGGCGGAAGTAGTTATTCTGAATTCTTGATTGTTCTTTAAGCCTTCTAAATTTGCTATCCTATCGTGTACTATCTTTACATAGTCAAGTCTTCGCTGTAAACCATCCCGTTATCCAAGATTATATACAACCCATCATATAAATCAGGCAAACTCCTTGTTGAATGCTCTTCCAATAACCATTCTTCTAATCTCACTAGTACCAGCACCAATCTCGTATAGCTTGGCATCCCGGAGGAGTCGTCCGGCTGGGATCTCGTTGATATATCCATTGCCTCCCATCAGCTGGATGGCATCGAGACTGCACTCAGTAGCACGCTCTGCGGCGTACAGGATGGCACCAGCACAGTCCTGTGTCTTCACCTGAGCTCCATCAGAGGAAACGGCAGACTGGTCAACTTGTCGGGCAGTGTTATAGGTGAAAGCTCGAGAGGCAGCAAGTTTGGTGTACATGTCAGCGAGCTTTCCTTGGATGAGCTGGTTGTGCGCAATTGGCATGCCGAATTGGGTACGGGTGTGAGTGTATGGAAGTACGAGGTCGAGACAAGCTTGCATGATGCTGGGGAAGTTGATTAGTCTTAACACTCTTTGAATCACCGCGCATATGGGAAAGGTATCCTACCCTAGTGGTCCAGCACTAAGAACGAGACGCTCAAGGTCAAGTCCCTCCATCAGAACCCTAACTCCCTTGTTGAGCTGGCCTAGAACATTGGCGTGTGGGACAAAGACATCCTCAAAGATGAGTTCACCAGTGTTGGATCCACGCATGCCGAGCTTGTCGAGCTTGCGGGCACAGGAGAAACCCTTGAAGTTCTTCTCAACGACAAAGGCGGTAATACCCTTTGAGCCAGCATCAGGTTCGGTTTTGGCGTACACGACGATGAAGTCAGCGTCAGGGCCCTTGAGATCCCCGTTAGCCATAAAAATTCAATCTTTTGCGGGAGTAGTCCAAAACCTACGTTGGTGATCCACATCTTGGTGCCGTTGAGGACAAATCCGCCATCAACAGCCTTAGCCTTGGTCTTCATGCTGACAACGTCGGAGCCGGCAGAGTGTTCGGACATGGCAAGTGCTCCAATCTTCTCTCCAGAGATAAGACCGGGCAGGAAGCGCTCTTTCTGCTCTGGTGAGCCATTGAGGCAGAGCTGGTTGACGCAAAGCTGGGAGTGAGCAGCGTATGAAAGTCCAATGCTTCCTAGGCAATGTTAGAACTTATGCTTAAACATAGTAAACTAATAATAAAAAATGCTTACCTGAAGCACGGCTAAGTTCTTCCATCACGACACAGTGTGCCTGATAACCCATCCCGAGACCGCCATATTTTTCCTCTGCAGTGACACCCAAGAAACTTCGTATAACCGTTAGCTGTCAATCGTACTGCATATCGTTGGACAGTGTGGTAAGTAGCTACCCGGCTTCGCCAAACTTCTTCCACATCTCGGGGGGGAACTGGTTCTGCTCGTCGGTTCTGGCAGCGACCTCCTCTGGAATTTCACGCTCTAAACATCGTCAGCACTATCCTCAGCAAGCTAACAAACCCCTGCGTTACACATACTGGCAAACTCCCGGACGGTATCCCGAAGCTCGTTCAGCTCATCTTCGGTCGGGGGAGTGAATCCCTGGGGGTGTTTTGTGGAAGCTGCCCGCCATGCGGCAACAGGTACAAACTGCCTCCGGGCGGCCAGGGTAGCTCTGGGGGCGGAACGGCCGAGGAAACGAGGAAGAGCCGACGATGCCATGGTGATGAATGCCTTGATAGAGACAGAGAGAGAGAAACACGCAGCAAAGACAGAGCAAAGTAGCAACTCCGGCGGCGACGCGGACGAAAGAAAAAAAGAGACGAAGTTGTTGCAAGCTGCCTCTTCCGGCGCCTCGGCTGACCTTCCCTTTCGGCCCAGCGGGCGCGGCTTGCGGCGGCAATACCGCCCGGTAACGCCAGTACCGCGCGTGGGGCTCTTTCGGCTAACTTCCCCTTCCAGCTCTATTTTTCCGGCGTCAAAAACGACCCGAAGAGGAAATCTTTTCGACGTCGCGATATCAGAAACGAAAACATCCAGCGAGCGACGCAGAGACGGCGAGGCTGATTATCGCGGAACCTGAGACCTGGAGCTGAGAATGATAGTAGGATAGGCCGTGGACGCTTCAATCTGTTGTTTACACCCTACGTCTCTGTGCAATTGGAGCTTCGTTGACCGATCATGGCTGCTCTCCGCGCCCCCTCTGCCGGGCTGCTGCACAGCATGCGATGCGCCCTCAACCAGCAGCTCCCTCGTCGAGCAGCAATCACACTGAAGCCGGGCTCCAGCTACCGGGTCAGGAGCGTTGCCAGCTTCACGCACGCTCACCAGGCGTCTGCCATCTCTGTGCTGCCCACCACCGTCGATACCTCGTCCGCAGACTTCCAGGAGAATGCTAAGCAGATGGAGGAAGTGCTCAAGAAGATGAGCGACCTGCATACCAAAATCGCCCAGGGAGGATCCCAGAAGGCCCGTGAGAAGCACATTGCGCGTGGGAAGATGTTGCCCAGAGACCGAGTGACCGCCCTTATCGACCCGGGCACCTCGTTCCTCGAGCTCTCCCCCCTGGCCGGCCACGAAGTCTACCCTGGCGACGATGTGCCCTCTGGTGGTATTATTACTGGAATTGGTATGGTCGAGGGCGTCAACTGCATGATTGTTGCCAACGACAGCACCGTCAAGGGCGGCACCTACTACCCGATCACCGTCAAGAAGCATCTACGTGCCCAGGCCATTGCTCAGGAGAACAAGCTTCCCTGCATCTACCTTGTTGACTCCGGCGGTGCCAATCTGCCTCACCAGGCCGATGTCTTCCCAGACAAGGAGCACTTCGGCCGTATCTTCTTCAACCAGGCCCGTATGAGCTCTCTCGGCATCCCCCAGATCTCCGTTGTCATGGGCCCATGTACCGCCGGTGGTGCCTACGTTCCCGCCATGAGCGACGAGTCTATCATTGTCGAGAACCAGGGAACCATCTTCCTTGCAGGACCGCCGCTAGTCAAAGCAGCTACCGGTGAAATCGTCTCTGCCGAAGACCTTGGAGGCGGCAAACTACACTCCACCATCTCCGGCGTGACAGACTACCTTGCCGTTGACGATGCCCACGCCCTCACCCTCGCTCGCCGCTCGATATCAAACCTGAACTGGCCCAAGACCACCTCCCCATTGACGCCCACCTCGACTTCCGCTGAACCCATCAAGGAGCCCCTGTACCCAGCCTCCGAGCTGGCTGGGATAATAGGCACCAATCTCCGCCGCCAAGTCGACGCACACGAAATCATCGCCCGTATCGTCGACGGATCTGAATTCTCCGAATTCAAGCGCGACTACGGCACCACCCTCGTCACTGGCTTCGCACGCATCTACGGCACGCAGGTCGGCATCGTAGCTAACAATGGCATCCTCTTCTCTGAATCCTCGCTCAAGGGCGCACACTTCATCGAGCTGTGCACCCAACGAAACATCCCCTTGCTCTTCCTGCAGAATATCTCCGGTTTCATGGTCGGAGCCGATGCCGAAAAGGGCGGTATTGCGAAGAACGGCGCCAAGCTGGTGACTGCTGTTGCTTGTGCGGATGTCCCCAAGTTCACCGTCGTGTATGGTGCCAGTGCTGGTGCAGGTAATTACGGAATGTGGTATGTTCCTTTACACCCTCCCTTCTCCCCCCTTTTTTCCATTCTACCTAGGAAGGAAAGGGGAAAAAAATGTCTGAGACACCCTTGAGATTAAAATCGTATACTAATCAATTTATGCATTTGCAGCGGCCGTGCATACTCACCCCGGTTCCTCTTCATGTGGCCTAATGCAAAGATCGGCGTCATGGGCTCTGAGCAGCTAACTAACGTCATGGCTGCGGTCGGCAAGAGCGTCGACCCCTCGCTGCGCGACCGTATCGACGCCGAGAGTGAGGCTGTCTTCTCGTCTGCTCGTCTCTGGGACGACGGTGTCATTCCTCCGGCCGATACTCGAAAGGTTCTAGGTCTATGTCTAGCTGCGTCCGTCGGCGGACGTTCAGAGGAAGCGAAGACCAAGTTTGGTGTTTTCAGGATGTAAATCTTTGTCATCCAAGCTGGTCTAGTTCCTTAATTTTTATAGCCTCCTTTTTTCATTTTTGGTAGAAGATACGAAGGGGATCCGCCGGGCAGGAAAATAGAATCATGTACAATTAACTACAGTTGCTCAGAGTGCGGTTTTGAGGTTGAATTTTGCTTGCTTGCATTCTTGCTTGCTCCATATACATAGCCCAGCATGATAAAAATCTATTCCATAGATAGTGGATATATAAAGGGAAAAAAAAAAAGTTGAAAAGGCATTGTAACGATTTCACATCAGGAGGGGATATCAAGTGAGACGGACAAGCTGGCAGGTAAAAAAAAATAAAGTAAAATAAAAAGACAAGGATAGCGTGTATAAGAGCCGGTAATCAATAAGTAGGATGGAGGGGAAAGGAAAATATATATACACAGGATGATGAAAGGAGTCCCGTACTTTTTTTTTTTTGCCTGTGATGGTTCGCTGGAATGAATGCTTTGCTGGAGTCAAGTCATGATTATATCGTGATAAAAAAAGAAGGTCTTTCTCTCTGCTCTTGTTCTCTTCTTTCTTTCTCGTTCTTCCATCTTGACAAGGGGGAAAAAAGGCGGGGATGGAGGGAGGGAGGGAGGGAGGGAGGCGCGAAGGTAGGAATAATATCCAAGGAAGCGGATGGAAAGGAAATATAACAAAAGGGAAACTTTTCGGAGGGAGTTGGCGGTGGTTTGTTTATAGAAACAGTAATATGTATATCACGAAATGAAGGGGCGGTGTGTAGTGGAGTGTAGTATGGTAGGAGGATCAGGATCAGGTTGAAAGAAGAGGATGGAGGAAGTAAGTAGATCTTCAGAGATGTAAAAAAAAGAAAGAAAGAAAATAGCAAATAGATGAGATATCCAAAAGAGAAAATAAGACAACAAACCAAAGAGCAAACCAGTGATGCGGAAGGGGTATAATTAAGGCGGACAAGACAAAACAAAGGACGGACGGACGAATCACCTGCAGGAAAATATGGCTGACAAGAGTACGATAAAGGCCAGGTAAATGGGGAGCAAACGCACGGAGGAGACAAACGAGGCGGGAGAGAGATAGAGAGATAGAGAGGTAGAGAGATAGAGAGAGAGAGGCGGTGACGGTCAAAGAATCACACAATCGGTCTTCATCTTTGTCCTCCTCCGATTCCGCCGCTTGTCGGCTGCTCCGCTTGCCTCCTTCTTGCGACTCCCTCCGTAGTCTCTATCTCGGTCTTTATTGGATCGGATATCCTTCCGTATGATCTGCCGGCAGAGGTCTATGAACGCTTCGTCTACGTTCGCTCGTCTTCGTGCGGAAGTCTCGTAGTATGGAGCATTCCCCCACTGTTGGGATAGAGCGAAGGCGCGCGATCGTGAAACGGCACGGTCTTCCTCGAGATCTGACTTGTTACCGACGATGACTATGGGGACTTTCTCGTCGTCTTTGATACGGATGATCTGTTCGCGGAGTTCTTGTAGTTCATTCAGGGAGGACATGCTCGTTATGGAGAAGACGAGGAGGAAGCCTTCGCCTTGTTTCATGTATAGTTCCCTAGAAAACGGGTGAGCCTTGTGAGTTGCGAGTTGCTACTACTGTCGTAGTAGAAGTAGTCGAGCAATTGGAAACTTTGGTTTGAAGGGGGAGGGCGGTGGGTGGTAAGGAGGGTCGCGGGTTTAGCTGGGGCTGTTTGAGGAGTGTCTGGGATAGAGTTTCATAGAGATTGAGTTACCTCATGGCGGCTATAATTCAGCTTGTTAGTCTGGGGATGGCCGGGGATAGAGTCGGGTAAATTGGAGGTGATGAGACTTACTGAATTGTTCCGTCCCAGCTGTATCCAGTCTGCAGTCCAACGAGTCAGCAATTGTTGTTGTAGATGCGGGTGAGTATCTAATCGACACTTTCAGATACGTACATTTCGAGAAGACATGGCCGTCCCTATATAAGGAAAGAATATTAGCGGGTATTCAGAAGTAGGTGAATAAGAAAACAGGCTGACACTCACATCTACTGCAAGGACCTTTCTGTAGGAATCTTCGATGGTCGGATCATAGCTCTCAATCCATATATTCTGTACGAACTGAGCTGGACGAGCAGTCAGCGCAAAAAGAAGACACCAAAAAAGGGACTGTATAAACCCGGCCAAGCTCTTACCGGTCAAGCAGCTCTTCCCAACACCACCTGTAGGAACAATATGGTAAAATCAGCAAAACGTATTCCCCCCTCCTCGCCTCTCTCCTTATCATCACAGTAAATATGGTATATTGCCAGAAGAATTGTAAACAAAAACAAAGAACCGGGACAAGAGAGGTTCCTACCGGCGCCCAGCACAACGATGTGATATTCCCGCCTGACATGCCGATGACGAAAGTTAGCCATGAAGTTCGCGGGAAAGGCAGAGAAGGTGTGTTTGCGCGGAGAGTCCAGAGAAGCGCGCAGATGCGGCAGAGCCATTCTGGGCCTGGGGAAAAGCAAAGAAAGGGGGCCAGGTAGAAGGAAGGGAAGGGAAAAAAAAAATATAGGGACACCAGCTGGAGGTGGGAGGAGGAAAAGCCAGAGAAGGGAGAGAGAGAGAGAGAAAGGGAGGGAAAAAGGGACCATCCATACCGTGGCTGACTCTTCGATGCCATCTGAAAGGGCAAGCTTCGAGCTGTTTTTAATTAATAGGGACGAGGAAGGGAGGCAGGAGGTCGTTTTTTTTTTTTTTTTTCCTTGGAGAGGACGCGGCGTGGTGGATCGATGCTAAGTAAGAGAGCCGGGGCAAGCAGTAGCTCAGGCGCTTCGACGGACAGGGAAGCAGAGGAGAGCAGGAGAAGGCGTAGAAGGAGTAGAAGGAGTAGAAGAAGAAGAGGCAGAGGAATAGCAGGCTGGCTATCTCTCCGTGGCCGGTGTCTTTATTTCCTGTCTCGCCCTGGGGTCGGCCCTGAAGAAGGGGGGGGAGGGAGGGAGGGAGGGGGGTGGAAGGCCGCAGGAAGGGTTCACCGTAGCACAGCCGCCAGTCACAGCAACGGCGACGGCGACGGCGAGAACTGAGCAGGAGACGCTGAGCAGGTAGCAGCAGCAGCAGCAGCAGCAGCAGGTAACTAAGTAAATTCGTAATAGCAGCGATAACGCCGGACGACGAGGCAGAGACAGGCGACCGACGCAGGAGACGGTCGAGCAAGGCCAATTTCCCTCCCCCCGAAACAGCCGGACAGTTTTGGCAGGTCGAGCGGGCAAGGGGGAGCGAGATGCCTGTCGATGGGAGGGAAAAGAAAAGAAAAGCGAGCAGCAGATGAGGACGAGGACGAGGATGATGTTGATAGCAAAGCTGCGAGCTCAGTCGGCCAGAGCAGAGGGAGGGAGGAGAGTCGTAGGGAGGCCGCTGGTGGTTGATGCTGGTGGTAGTTAGTTAGGGATGTTGATGGTGCTCGACCATGCGCGTCTGGCGAGCTGCGGCGGCGGACGAGGATCGCGAGGGAGGACGAGCTAGGGCGTTTCAGCGGCGGGACAGCCTGTTCGGTGCCTTGTCGCAGGCTGGCTGGCCGTGTAAGTATCCTGTGTATTTCTCGCGGTGGTCTCGCTGGCGTGTCTGCGTCGTCTGTCGTCTGGGGACAGCGAGAGGAGAGGACGAAAAGAATAGCAATAATAGGAGAGACGGCGGAGGCTCAGGTCGAGAATTACCTAAGAAGGCTAACTGGAGACGATGAAGAAGACGACGATGAAGAAGAAGAAGAAGAAGAAGAAGACATTGCGAGATGAAGAAGAAGACGAAGTGATGACGATGGCATCTGATATGTTTGCTTTTCTCCTCGACAGGCCCCCTATCTGTCTGTCTGTCTGTCTGCCTGTCTGTCTGTCTATCGGTCTACCTATCTATGTAACTACAGCAAGCATCTCGCGGGCTATCTACAGTAGCATCATCTCACGGCGATCGTCACTCAGCCCTCAACGGCTGCTCCGGCGTCCTCCTCCTGCTGGCGACCAGACACGGTCGAGATCAGGCATCAACCAGCTCGCTACTCACGGCTCGGGGGGGGGGGATGGGGGGGGGGGGGGGGAGGGGCTTCTTCCCTAGGGCCCAGCACCGCCAGCACCGCCAGCAGCAAGCCAGCGCTGCATCATAATAGGGCCAGGGACTCATCTGCCTGCTCTCCCTAGCCTGCCCACCCGTCTTTCCATTACCCCGGCACCGGCTCCCTCCTGTGCGTCGTATTGGTGGCCGCCAGCACGCTATACAAGCCCGTCAGGCTGATCACCCACCGCTAAGCTGTTGATGGGTCCCCAACTGGACGCTGGGCCAACTGTCCGGCGGCGCTGCCATTCAGGGAGCTTCGAGCTAGCTAGCTTAGCTGGGCCCGGGGAACCCTCGTTGTCGGGGTCGGGGGGGGGGAGAAGGCGTTGGTTAGGTCGGGGGGAGGAAGGGCCACCGGGTGAAAAAGAAAAGAAAAGGAGAAC